TTTTTTTTCTGACGAGCCTTCAGCTTTACCTATTGCTACTTTTCAGCTTTTCCGTCGTGTGGCTGCTGCCTTACCTGGGATGGACAGCACACCAGAGAAGAGCAAAGAAGACAGTATCCTTGCTTTTCTCACCAGTGACTTTCCTGTTCTCGTAGAATTTGACAATTCTCTTTTGTTAGGTTGGGCTTACTGACTTTTTGGCACATTGTGGGGATGAGCCTTACTGGGCTTTTGCACAGATATGGCTGAAATAGCCAGTGTAGTGTGGTGCTTACCTCTGGGCATAAATTGAGGACCCTGCTTGTGGTCTACATATAAATGTACCCAACTACTTGTAACGGCAAGCACAAGTTTTGCTTTCTCCACTTAAGCTTAGGATATAATCTGCATAATTTAAAAATACCGTAATACTTTCCTCTTTTTGCACAGGGCTGTCTTGTGTGCGGACCTGTCTGATTGGGCTCTGTCCTCTAAGTGGTCTTGACGTACCCAGTCCACTGGTTTTGCAGTTAATCCTGTTCAGGCAGGATATGTTCTGCTCCGCTAAAACACCTGCCCTTAACAAGAAGGGACAGCTAACAACCTTTCAGGAACTGATCTCTTTCTCTGTTCTCTCCTTGTTTTTCCTTGAGCCGGGTGATTTCCTTAACTTGTCTCCCGCAGTGATTGACATCAAACTAGAGAAACCTCCTGAGCAGCCAGTAACGGAGAGCGGGTGCTCCTGCTAACAGGCCCGTTCTGTAGCAGCACATTCCCCAACCGGCCAGTCTCACTGAAGAACATCACCGCTCATTGGCTAGGCAACCCTACTTTGTGGGCTGAAAAACCAATCTACTAAGCGAGCGAACTCCCTGTTTACTGGTGGGGAGCAGCCCCGGCCGCCCCTCTTACTGCATGGTATGAGCCCTGAGTGCAGAATGAGTGTCCTGTCTTTTATTTTATTTTTTTATGTTGTTGCACTTTGGCACTGTGGTGCCCTTTACACTCTCTCTCTTCCTCTCCTTCTCCCCCTCTTCCCCACCTTGAGCCTGTCTGCTCAGATGTATCTTGTGAATGCAATGGAAAAGCCACCAAGTTAGGGAAGACAAAAATAAAGCTTGGGGGTGGGCTTTCCACCTTCCTTACTGCCTTGCATCTTAACTAGTTCCCTGTCCACTCCAGCCCTGTCTTTGTCCTGCATCCCCACTTCCTCTATGGAAAGGCTGCTCCTTTTAAACCAGTCAGTTTGACTTGGCCTTGCCTTTTTGGACAATACAGGTTATCTGTTTCTAGGCTTTTGCTTCCTGCAGGGCACACACAATATCAGCTCCTCAGTTTCTCCTTTCTGTGGATGATCTTGGCTAACTCTTGCTCACGACTTCTGAGTTTTGCCCTACACTCAGCCCCTCGTGTTACAGACAGCACTGGAACCCCCCAAACTCTGATAGCTTTGGCCTTGTTGCTCCCGTTTGTGTAGCAGAGGCATCCCACAGACTGCTCTCCCCAGTTGGAGTATCTTCCCATCCAGAGGACGTTGGTGCTTGGTGAGTGTTGGCTGTCAGATGTGGGGAAGGAAGAGGGTACAGAGGCTTTGCAGCATGAGGCTGGGTGGGGAGAGATCCTCAGGGTGGTTTGTAGAGACCTGGGTCTTGTCTGTCAACAGTGAAAGCAAACAGTTACCCGAAATACATCACTACAGGGGCAACACCTGCCCTGGGAGTCACGGGTGCTGTTCAGGCTCCTTTCCTAGTCTCTGTTCTGTTCATTGTCACATAGACCGGGAGCTTCTTCACGCGGAGCAGGAGAGCTACAGCAGATGGAAGGCCAGTGATAGCTGTTCTACTCTCGTACCTAGGTTGCTGCTTGGTGAAATCATACATAGCTGCTTCTGCCTTTATAGTAGACTTCTGGGGGATGGGGCTAGTAGCCATTTCACTTTTGGAATGGTGTTAAGCTGTACCATTGCCAAAACTGAGATGAGCAGTGGCAGGGATTTATGGTCAGACCGGGGCAGAGGAATGGAGGAATGTATGACACTTTTGGTGTCACTTCTCGACCTTGGAGGTTGGGAAATACCTCCTCTTCCCCCTGCCCCTGGTTTCTAATTATGTTAATAGAGCTTTTCAGAGACTTTTACTGGGGGGGGGTTCATCCATCTGTCCTAACCAGAGGTCTGTAGGTTTGTTGACAGCAAGGAGAATAAAACAGTCGGATGGCTCTAAGCCATTCGCTGTCCTTTTCATCACCCGGCCTATGTCATGCTGACAGGGGGGATGCTAGCGGGCAGGAGAGCGACTGACCGCAGCGTGACAGGTGGGGACAACAGCGTTTGGTGGTTAGGGACGCTCCCCTAGCAGGATGCCTGTTGGTCACTGACACAGCGTGCGCACTTTGAAGCCTGCGGGCCGTCGAGAGAGGGGAAGGGGCAGCCTCGGATCGGGAGCTGGCAGTCCCTGCGTTGGCTTGCTGGCGGCGAGTTGCCTCTCTGCTGGTGACTGGCCTTTTGTCCCCCAGAGCCCTGTCCCTTCCCCTCCGGGTGAGGTGAGCTGGCCTGCAGGAGGAAGCTGGGATGTTGTTCCCCATTTCACTCTGGAGTGTTCCCCCCACACACACCTTGCCCCCAGTCTGAGCTGGCATAGCTGGGTCCCAGCACTGGCGGGAAGCTCAGCCCCCTCCCCTGTACATACCCCTGTTGTGTGGGAATTGCTGATGTTTGTCGGTGTGTCCGTGTCTGCCGTAGAACAGGTTTTGCTGTCCCCTTCCCACAGGCAGGTGTGCGCTGCTCTGCTGTCGTGTTGTTCCGAGTCACGGGCCTGGGGGGAGGGAGGGGGGAG